GTCAGAAGTTCAATATATGAATGGATTCATTAAGAGTATATGGATACAAACCATAGGAAAGACTTAAGTAAAGTATTCGGTAATAATAAATCTTAATATTCTAAAATACTATATTGCTCCAAATTTTCAGAAGAATGGCTGAACAGGAAGGTAGCCATACCCCTAAGGTGGGTGGAAATCCTCAACCTGGTGAAGTAAATACTCCAGTATCCCCTCGTGAGGAACGACTCTTAAGTAAACTTACTGGTATAATTCGACAGACTCTTGAAGAGCACAAGAAGAATAATGATAAAGGCAAAGAGAAAGCCACTGGAGAATTTTCAAAAGGAGAGGTGAAGCGTCCCTCGTTCAAAGATTTCAAGAGTAGTGGCGCTACGGAGTTTTCAGGTGTTCTTAATCCCATTGTTGCTCTTACCTGGATCCAGAACACAGAGAAAGTGTTTCGTATTTCTCATGTGGATAATGAAGACAAGGCTAATTATGCTTCTGCTATGCTCGTCAAAGAAGCCTTGGTCTGGTGGGAAGCAACATATGAAGCTCTCAACGAGTATGACCAGGAGAATTTATCCTAGGAGATGTTCAAAACTCGTTTGCTAGAGAAGTATTGTCCTCTAGACATGAGGAGGAGATTGGAGAAAGAGTTTCTGGAGCTTAAGCAAGAAGGAATGATCGTGAATGAGTATGAAACTCAATTCAATCAAAGAGCACGGTTTGCCGCAAAGTATATCCAAACTGAAGACGATAAAATTCAGTTATTCTTGGATGGACTGCGGTATGAGATCCACAATTTCGTAGCTAATCGGGATGTTCTGTCCTTTGACAAAGCTGTTGAGTATGCTCGAAAGCGTGAGCATGACTTAGAGATACGTGGTGCCACTTTTTCTGTTCCAAAGCATCCACGTATCGATCAAACTGTTCCTGTTTCCTCTATTCCACCAGCTCGATCTCTTCAATTTGATTCTAGTACAAGAGAGCAATCTCAGAGCGCCATTCGTGGTCGCGGTAGATCACAATCTTTTTCTCTTCAGTCGCCATCGTGTATAAAATGTGGAAAGAATCACCAGGGCCAATGCAGAACAGAAAAAGCGGTGACCTGTTATGGATGTGGAGAAATGGGTCACATAAAGCCTGTTTGTCCAATGAAGAGTGTTACATGCTTTGCTTGTGGTGTTACCGGCCACAGGAAGCGTTTCTGTCCTACTCTTACTAGTCAAATGGCGGGAAGTCAAGCTTCCGTTCAACAACCAAGGAATACTCCAAAGGAGGAGGTGCCAATAGCTAAAGGCCATGCATTCCAGATTACCACAGAAGAGGCACGCAAGGACCCGAATGTTGTGACGGGTACATTTCTTGTCAAATTTTAGACCTGCCTACATCTTATTTGATTCTGGTGCCTCAAATTCTTTTGTGTCTCATGAATTTGCGCATTCTTTTCAAATTGCTTGCTATTCACTCGTGCAACCATTTCACGTAGATACCATAGAAAGTGTATCATTACTTGCTGGTAAAGTCCATAGAGATTTTGTCATGGAAACTGAAGGTTATAGTTTTCTTGTTAACCTGATTCCCATCTTCTTGCCCAACTTTGATAATATTCTCGGCATTGAATGGTTGTTAAAGAACACACTCAGGTGTGAAAAGTTTCTTTGTGAAAACTTATGAATGATGACTTGGGAACTGCGAGACAATACTTGGGACGAGTATGAGTAGATGTGAATAGTAGTAGAGGCCTATACTACTGGAAGCACATGACTCACACTTGGATCAGGGAAAGTCACAAGGTTACCAAGAAACTAGTAATCGATTCCGTTTTTGTTCAAGTATGTCATTACCTTCGTTTCGGTGATGACTAAGAAAATGATTTTTGTTCAGACCTTAATGGTCGTAAAGAATCGAGTCCGACTAAAATAGATCTGCGAAGTGAGGTGATTGGTTCAGAGAACCATGTCTCGTGTAGTGACGAAATTTTAGTCAAAAAATTGAAGAATGAGATGGTCAGACGGAGAGAACAATTCAAACGGTAGAAGATATGCTTTGTGCATATCTCTGGGAGTTGGTGCACGTCAAGTGGAAACACCATCGAGGCCCAAATTATAATTAGGAAAATAATAATGAGATAAGAGCGCAATATTCCCAGTCATTTTTATCGTTATGATTTCGGGGACGAAATCCTCAAAAGGAGGAGGTATTTGTAACATACACGTTCAGTTATCGTGTTATGTAATTTTAAAAGTGAATAATATTATGAAATATTATATAATTATGAGTATTGAGTTCTAACAGATAGTTTTTACTAGAAATGAAGTAAAACTATGTTTAGAATCATCCAGAATATTTTGGAAGTTTTATGAGATTCCGAACATTAGGCAAATATTAAAATTTAACGAAAATATAAAATTTGAAATAAGTAAAATTTTATTATTGAAAGTTGTAAAGAATCTCGTTAGAAACATTTAGGCGAAAACCTCATCGAAATCCGAGTTATAACGAAGAAGTTATGACCAATAGAAGATCCGCGACAAAACCGGCACGGCGCCGAATGACGTAAAAAGTGAATTTTTGATAAACTACTTTTTAGCCTTGGTGATCTAAACGAAAGTCGTAGTATTTGTTAAACCGAGAATTTTGATAAAAAGAACGTCCAAATCTGACTTCGTATGAGGAAGTTATGATTTTTCTAAGTTTCAGCTTAGTAGTAGACAACTAAAAATTCGAATTTTAGATCGAGTGATTTTTAGCCAACACAACCTAAACGAGAATCGAAGGTCTCGTCATTAGTAGTACAACGGTAAAAAGACTGACGAAAACGGACGTCGGATGAAGAAGTTATGAATTTTTAACGAATTTTCTTGTCCCGGTCTGTTAAAAATAATAATATTAAAAATAAAGTCAAAATTAGCCAACGAAGTCTAAACGAAAGTTGTAGAGCATAATTTTCCCTACGCGTGCATATAAAGAACGTCAAAAACGGAGCTCGTATGCGAAACTTATGGATTTTAGAAGTTCGGGGAACAAAATTCGAGAAAATCACTAAAACTGAGAAGAATCGTATGGCACAGCTTCGGCCACGTCGCCCTTCTCGCATGCAGACGCGTGTCCGAGCCGGAGAACCAAGCGATGCGAGGTCCAATAGTCTTCCGACGCGTGTCCCCTCTGTGTCAAGTCTGAAGCGCGCCAGCTGCCCCTCGCGTCCGAACCTCGCTGCTGCTGTCGCGTGTCCGAGCTTCGCTGATACCTGGCTCCTCCCTCTTGCTTCGGATCTGAGGCTCGCACCTATATAAGGGGTGCGAGACCTCCCGGGTAAATGTTAGAAAATGCCCATTTTTCACCCCTAAACTCATATTTCTACTATTTCAACTTCCCCCGAAGCCCTGTGATTATTTCCAACGCCCGAAACACTCCCCGAAGTTCCCGAGAAGCCCGAGAAATTTATCTTTTCGGTTTGAAGCCCAACCCTCGCAGTGCCCGGTTTTTCAAGAAAACTCCCGGTTTTTATTGAAGAAAGTCAATTATAGTAACGAAGTGCTGCCCAAATTACTATTTTAAGCCCCAGTTATTTCACGGTGAGTTTAATATATAGGAACAATTGTATGTTATGTGTTATATGTGCTATATGCTTTCCTGAGTTATTTTTGGTTTTTATACTCTTGATCATGTAGAGCATGTCTCGTATCACTTCTGGTATTGGCTTTGAGCCTGTGGCCATGTAGAGCATGTCTCGTATTATTCTGGTATCGGATTTATGCCTTTGGCCATGTAGAGCATGTCTCGTATCACTTCTGGTATTGGCATTGTGCCTTTGGCCATGTAGAGCATGACTCGTATAACTTCTGGTATTGGCATAGGGCTATGTAGGGCTGAAAGCCTATATATTCTAGCAAAATTATAATCAGAAATTGTATGTTTTCTGTGCTATTTGGGCCGAAGTGTTATTGATGTATATCAAGTATTGAAATTGTTATGTCTCGTTGATTGTATATCTTTGAATCAAATCATCGATTGATATGGAAAGTTTGTCGCATGATTCACATATGCCTTTGTTGTTCCTTGTTCCTCTTTGCTTCTGCCATATTGAAGTATATATATGACATAACGTTATATTGTATCTATTATTGAACTCACTAAGTGGCACCGCTTACCCCTCTCAATGTTTAACAATTGCAGGAGATAAGTAACCGGTATAGTCGTATACTGTTGGAAGGTTTAGAATAGTTATAATATTACTTTTGTATTTAGGGATCATGTAAGTATAAAAGTATAGTATCCTGGGTAGTTGTGTAATATATAAAAATTTGTAATAGTCGGTTTGTATCCAGTCTTATGTAAACAAGTTATCAATGTAAAATATTGTTTTTTTTAATATGCAAGAAAAATGTTTTGGAGTAACAATTGTCAAGTATGAAAGTGTGGGTCTTTCAAAATCTGTGAAGGATATGTACCACAATGACTGTTTTGCCCCTGCTTAAAAAAAACTGGAGAAAGGGCATGTTACATTCGTCTTTTCCTTCTTTTTTTACTTCTTCATTAGCTATGTTGTTGTTGTGCTATAGGTAAAAGCAGAATTATTCCATGGAGAAAAATAACATTGTACTTAAGTAACTTAAATAGCATTTTTTTAATGTTTTTTTTAATAAATGTTTACAATATAAGGAAAATTGCTTGATGTAAAAGTATTACCTTAATTGCATGATGTTCAAAAATTGATATTAATTTTTTTTAATAAACCGTATAATACACGGGTTTCATGTAATAAATAAATAAAAAAGCTTTAGTTTGTAATTAGTATTCTAATTTGTAGTTAGATTATATATTTAATCCACCACGTTAGATTCCAATTTCTTAAGTATTTAATTAAAAAGTAAATAAGTTTTATTACCCTGATTTTTTAATTCAGTTTGTAGTTATTATTCTAAGTTCAAACAAAAATCAAATTGTTTGAATTTTGTCTTTAAGGCTTTAAAAACCTCCGCCCTGAAGTCAACCTCTCTCTCTCTCTCTCTCTTAACACAAAATTCTTCTCTTCCAACTAAAACCCATATCTGATTACTCCCAGGGAGATCACACATTTACATATACATACTCACATCCAATTTTTCTCATTAGTTTTAGTTCATCTTCCTGTTTGAGCAGAGCACCTTAGCTTTATCCTTTGCCGGAAAATCAGTCATGGGAAACGGGGTCGGCAAGCTGACCATCTGTTTCACCGGAACCGACATCGTCCAACGGCGGAAAGACTTGGCCTTTGTTATCTCTGACCCACTAGAAGATCTTGGTCACTCTTTTTGCTATGTAAGACCTGATCAATCTTGCATCTCCTCCTCCAAGGTCCATTCCGCTGAAGAAACGACAACGTTCCGGTCAATCTCAGGCGCCTCTGTCTCCGCCAACACATCCACGCCCCTATCTACCTCTTTCCTCGATGTATACTCTTACAACACCAGTGATAAGGCTTCCGCCTTCGAAAGCTCCACATCCTTTGCATCAATTCCTCTCCAACCTTTGCCTAGAAGTTCAATAAATTCGGGTCCTTTACCGTTTGGTCCGGGTGCGTATTCGGGTCCTATGGACCGAGGGTTTGTTTCTGGCCCGATTGAGCGGGGATTTCAATCGGGTCCCCTTTTTTCTGGTCCTCTCGAGAAGGGTAATCTCGATCAGTTCCAACGAAGCTATTCCCATGGGGGTTTTGGTTTCAAACGCAGATCGAGAAAAGGGAATTTGATTCGGGCAATCCAGAAGGCGATTTCATTGACGTTTACAACCCGTGGGCAAAACTCGACTGTCGCTCCGATCACTAAAAACCTGGGTCATTTGAAGGATCATGATTGGAATGTTGGGTCTGCAGAGAAAAATAACGAAATGACTATCAGCAGTATTAATTTAAGCAGCGAAGGTAGTATTTTGGACGACGATGATTGTTTGAATCAGAGCCAGAATCTCCAGTGGGCGCAAGGCAAAGCAGGAGAAGATCGAGTGCACGTCGTCGTGTCGGAGGAACATGGGTGGGTTTTTGTTGGGATTTATGATGGATTTAATGGTCCTGATGCCCCTGATTTTCTGTTATCGAATATGTATGCAGCTGTTCATAAAGAACTCAAAGGATTGTTATGGGATGATCAAACAGATGCATCGAATTCAACTTCTTCGGGGCAATCCTTAGATGCAGTCGACTCTCATAATAATTCTCAACCTCAAAAAAATTCGTCACCAAGATATGTTCATCAGCAGGAGAGTTACCCATGTGCAACTGAAGATCTCGAGACAAATTCACGAAAAAAGAGGAGCAAGATTAGAAATCGTGGGGCGGCTAAGAAATGGGAGGAGAATCAGAGGCGGTGGAAGTGTGAATTTGACCGGGAGAGATTAGAACTTGATCGAAGATTACGAGAACACATGAATTCAAACGGCTCAAATTCCATTAACCATTCAGACGTTTTGAAAGCTTTATCTCAAGGCCTAAAGAAAACAGAGGAGGCGTATTTAGATATTGCAGACCAAATGCTTGATGAAAATCCTGAACTAGCTTTAATGGGCTCTTGTGTTCTTGTCATGCTAATGAAAGGAGAAGATGTTTACGTGATGAATGTTGGTGATAGTCGTGCAGTTTTAGCTCAGAAATCCGAGCCAGATATCTGGAGACAAGATCTAGAAAAAATAAATGAAGAAACATGGTATGATCTTGAAGTTTTTGATGCTGATATTGCCACTACAGATCCAAGTTTAACTGCTTGTCAACTTAGCATGGATCATAGTACTTCCATTGAAGAGGTAAAAAAATTCAAACCCTGAAATAAATAACTTCAATTCCAACTTCTTTTAACCTTACAGACTCATTAACTTTTTGCAGGAAGTAAAAAGAATAAAGAGTGAACACCCTGAGGATGCATGTGCAGTGATGAATGACCGAGTCAAAGGCTCACTAAAGGTCACTCGAGCTTTTGGTGCTGGTTTTCTTAAACAGGTAATTACTAATTAAGAAACATATTTTGATTTAGATAAAATCTTAATAAAAGCAATGTGGGATTGATTCTTGATGGTGCTTCATAAAGCTAGATTCTCATATTTGTTAGAATAAATGAAAGATGGGATATTCTTTAAGGAGTTATACCTTCATAGCTCTTCTCCATTTGTTTAAACCAAGTTGATTTCCATTTTTGGAGTTGTTGGATTCCCTTTGACATTTCTATTTTTGTACACACGAATAAACTTAATCCAAAAGTGATTGACTTTTCAAATAATCATAGTTGACTCGGTTAATCCCACCTTAAATTAAACTTTTATGTAGCTATATTATTTATCGATATACTTTTTCTACAAAAGGGTTATTATTATTTCAATCCCTGGACTTGGCCCACATCGCTCCACCCTAGGAGATGTAAATCAGGTACACAACAGCCTGATAGGTGGCTGACAGAAAAACTGACTCAAACCCTTGACCATTCTCTTATTTTACAAGTTCTAGATGCAATTCAAGATTATAAAGCTCGATACAAATGTTCAACTTTACTTTCTTGATTTGATATTTTGATGCTAAAGTCTTTTATTCTTTTGCTTGTTGCAGCCTAAATGGAATAATGCATTACTAGAAATGTTTAGAATCGATTATGTGGGAAACGCTCCATACATAAATTGTCTCCCTTATCTTCACCATCACAAATTAGGGCCAAGAGATAGATTCTTGATATTATCCTCGGATGGGCTTTATCAATATTTCACAAACGAGGAAGCTGTGTCTGAAGTCGAGCTTTTCATTCAATGGTCACCCGAAGGTGACCCCGCCCAACATTTGGTAGAAGAAGTTTTGCTACGTGCCGCCAAGAAAGCCGGTAATAATCTCAAATTAAAAAAAAAATTTACAACTTCACGAAATTTTTTAGAAATATAAGTTTTCTGCAAAAGGGTTATTGTTCCAGCAACCCTAAGCTGACCCACACTGTCCTGATTATACAACAGTCTGTTAGATGGTTGGCATAAGGCTCAATGTGTACAAAGAGCCCAATCCACATTGGACTTAAACGTTAAAAATGTTATATTGTAGCTGCTGAGACTCGAACCCTTGATTTTTTTTAGCTGAGATCTAACTTTCTTTTTTTTGTTGTTTTTAGGTTTGGATTTTCATGAATTGTTGGAAATACCACAAGGGGATAGAAGGCGTTACCATGATGATGTTTCGATTATTGTGATTTCACTTGAAGGAAGGATATGGAGATCTTGCGTGTAATCTTCGCATATTGTAAACATAGAAATTAAGAAATAAATTGGTTACGTTGAAAAATAGGTAGATACGGACAATTTTTCGATCTGTCTTTTTGGTGGTGAAAATTTGTAAAGATGTAAAAACTTTGGGCCATGTTAATTAATATGAAACTGTGATGTACCACAATTGCAAATATTGTAATAAATGAGGGGTTAAGTGAAAATACAAGAGTTTTAGTCAAATTACTAGAATGTGTTGGATAAATGAATGTTGTTGTCAGCTGTGATGGTTTTGAAATTGTCTGATCAAATAAATGGAAGTCCATTTGGAGACAACGACTTTAATTTGGTATTAATTTTGGTCAAACAAACCGTGTGGATGAAAACGTCAAAAGGTTGACTTTCTTCAACCGAAGACTTAGACTTTTGTATTTGTTTCTACACAATATTTTCCCCATATTTGAATCCATTGTTGTTTGGTCGATGAGAATGAAATGAATGATCAAATATCAACAAATAATGAAATCTAATTTTATATAAAAACATAAACAATTACATTTGTTCTTATAGATCAATGTCTATGATCTCTGTTAAACATGTACAAATAAATAAGAGACCTAACTATTAGAAGTTAATTTATATATTAGGTAAATCAGATACTGATTTGTTTTATAACATAAGCTCTTATATACTAATTTTATAAATGTATTTCTTCAACTACTAATTGATAAAAGATAGGTTTAATTTTTCAAGTTTAGATATTAACCATTGACAATATCCTTCTGTATCCTTTATTTGCTAGAACATGCTAAAAGGTTGGAACTAAATCCAATCAACTCTATCATATGTGATTTGATTTGGTTGGTTTCAAGATTTATTTAATTATTAATATGAATAAAATCAAATTCTTTTAGTCAACGAATTTAATACAAGTCGATCTATTGGAACTCAACAATTTGCAAATCGCAATGATATATCAGAACAATAATTATGTTCTTTAGTTAAATAAAATTTGTTCATTTCTTGATATATACAAAGCTTGATTTTCTAGTAAACAGATTGATAATACAAAATTAATTACTCAAAACAGTTAAAGTGGCCTTCAAATTCCAAATAGCCTCATTAGACCTACATGGGCAATAACTAGTCTTGATGAAATATAAAGCTTAGCTCCTATTGACCTAAACTATATCCGTTACAAGCACTTGAGCCTTGCTCGAATTACTTGGAATATGTACACGAAGATCGGATCTAGAAAAAAATATGGTTCAAAGCTTTATGTGAAGAATGAAAACCGGTATTCGCCAATTGCAGATTGGATTTTATCTCGTTTAAGAGGCAAAATATGAGAAATCAAATATCTTCTTACTTATCTTTCTATACTTGTCATCATTTCATATGAGTAGTAAGTAAGTAGGAAACAAAAAATAAGGGGATATTTAATTTCTCGTAATCATAGACAATTAGATTTGGATAGTTTTGAAACTAGATTTTAAAAATCTGGCTAAAAATTTTATATTTCGTTTTCTTCTTCGATGTATTTTGTTGAACTTGATTACAGGGTTAAAATTTAGAGAAGTTTTTATGGTATATCATAACAAACAAAACTCACTATTTTGTTATGATAGCTTTGTAATTAACAAAGTTTTAATAGATAGCTTTATACTTTTAATTTGAAAAATGGTATTTTGTAGTCACCCGGGTCGTTTAAGGGGTAAAAAACAATTATGGGTGTCTTGGTACCCGAAACTCGTAGCTTTTATTTGTTATCTAAGTGTTTGACAAAATTAGCTGGAAGTTTTTGAAATATGTGAAATTACAGACAATTGTTTAAAAACGATAAATATATAAATGTATTTTTTAAAGGCAATTTTGAAAATTGATTAAAAAAGTTCAATAGTTTTTCTTAAACGTTACATGAAGTAGCTATTACACTTGAATTTAAAAATAAAAAAAAATAAAAAATAAAACTAAAAGCTAAATGTGCGTACTCCAAATGAAGCTATTTGTTTAAATCGAGTTTTTTTTGTTTAAATTTACAAGTTAGAAGCTCCTAAACACTCGCTGCCAAAACAGATAAAAATCTGATATTCCATATATTGTTGCAACCTATCTAATACAACCTATCTAATACAACAGATTGGATTTTACTCCAATTATCATTTAATCTAGGTTTTCTCCGAACAATCCAAATCATATTTCAAATAATTTAACAAAAAAATGGTTTAGATGTGCACATATGGTCGGACAAGCAATTCCATTACAATAGGTATAACATACCATTTTCTTTTCCTCAAAGTTGTAAGGGAAATTAAGTAATCTAACCCTTATAAACGAGTATTATAATAAAAATGACCACCATAATTTTTTTTCTTGAAAAATAACAACTTTCTCCAGAATATCGTATTCCAGAGTAGGTACGATCATTCCGAAGTTGGGGTCATTTGTAGGTATCGGGTCCGAAATCTAACAGTCGTACGTTCCAGACTCACAAAATGTATTCATGACTATGGATGCTAGAATACGATATTCCGGAGTACTTATGTTCATTCCGCAGTTGGTGGTGGTAGGTAGGATTTGGGTCCGGAATCTGATACACAATACACTCCTGACTGAAAAGTCTATTCCGGAATGTACGGACATTCCGGAGAGGTAAAATTAGGGTATTTTGTGTGTTCTTTATTCCCTACATGTAGTATGTGTGGCTGTATGTTCATCAACATTCTTTGGTAGTTTTCGTAATATAGAAGAATGAGTATTTATACAGATTCTTTTTCGAGTGTCAGTTTCGAGTGGATAGAAATGGCAGCGTATTGAGGGATCTATGATGTATATTGCTCCAGACTACACATGCTTTGGTGTAGATATATAACAATGATATCATCTTCGTTAGGTTAATTACGCTGGTTGCATCCAAGTCCAAGTTAGAAACTAATCAAATACTTCTATCTTTTCAAAGTCGTGGATCAAATATAGTTATGCGGATTCTTGATGATAGTGATGTCAATTATTTTCTTAATTTTGTTAGTAGTATGTCTCCTAACACAATACAATTGTTTGTTGTTAATATTGTTATGGAAACTAGTATTTATCAATTTGTCGATGAAAATCGTTATGGTGGAAATGGGTCTTCCGGTGCTTGAAGTAACCAAATTTTTAATGTGTTACCTATGACAACCAACCATGTTTCTTCTTCTAATGACCATATAGATGGGGTGATTATATGTATAAAGTAAGTCTGTTGATGATACTTATCCAGCAGCTGATGTTGATTAATCTGCAAATTATCAGTAAAAACTAATGGTGTTGGTTGATGATTATAATATAATTCCACATAAAGAGCTAGTTGAACATTTTTAGAGTTACACTGAATCTAATGGGGGTGATACTAAAGATGAAGAGGAGGTAAGTTGAGCCCTTAAAACCCCGAAAACCACAAGAGGAAATGTTTCCTTATTATTTTTCTGATTATGAAGAAACACAAACCACCTATTGGGGTATGCATGAACCTTTACCATTTTCGGAATTAGCTCAACAAAAACGTAAGGTGCAACAACCCACAATTATACTTCATATGTGAAGTTATTCTAACTCGTCAAAAACAAAGAAGAATTTCAGGTTAAATTAGGATTTAAATGTGTTACTCAAGGCTTCCAACATAAAGTGAGAAAATCTACAAAAGACAGGTTTGAAGTTGTTTTCTTTGTGTAAAATCGTGACTGGCGGATACAAACAACAAAAGATAAAAATATTGATATATTTCAAGTGGTTAAACTATCAGAGAGTCACACTAACTCAAACACACAACTACGTCCTTGAAATATCCCACAAATACAGACCAAAAATTTCTTTTTAAAATCATTTATAATAAAACCATAAGTCATCCATCATCATAAAGGAAACCATAAATCATGTATCAAAAACATCGTGTCAAATACTGTATCAAAATCATATGAAAAATCAGAGTCTAAACATCCAAGGCTGAAGTTGTGGTGTGTGTCATGCGATCATCTCGAGCCCTTCCCCTTGCTAGTGGAAGTACCTGAAACCAAAACTGAAAACTGTAAGCACGAAGCTTAGTGAGTTCCCCAAACTACCACGTACCATACAAATATCATGCAACTAGGAGATATGGGCCACGCCCACTCTTATGGAGATTCGGGCCCCGCCCACACTCCGCTGTCTAGGAGATTCGGGCCCCGCCCACACTCCGCTACTAACATGCATACAAGTATCACACAGACAACAAGTATATCTACCAAACAATCACATATCTATACTCAAATAATACTATGAGAATCGGGCCCCGCCCACTCTAGGCTACTACGAGATCCGGGCCCCGCCCACACTCAGCTACTAACATATCACATATACGGGCCGGCCTTGGTGTCGTGGACCTGTTCCTACTGAAGGAAACTCACCTCGCAAAATTGACTGCTGAAAACTCGAGTGAGGAATCCCTGTCTGCTGCTCCGGCGACTCTCCGGCTATCAATTCCATAATAACACTTAATCAGAATCTGCTAATCCTCCTTAGGGTAAAATGACCATTTTACCCCTGGTCAAAGTCAAAGTCAAAGTCAAAGTCAAGGTCAACTTCCAGTCAACCCAACTCGTCGATTTATCTCCCAACTCAGCGAGTCCATGAATGCTTAAACTCGTGGTCAACTGAGTCAACTCGTCGAGTCCCTTAACAGACTCGCCGAGTTCCTACTGTCATAATAATCGGGACATCCCGCTTCAACTCGTCGAGTTCCTTGACAACTCACCGAGTTTCATAAACATCATCGAGGATCCTTGATTGGACTCGCCGAGTTGCCATATGAACTCATGATTCCCTTGCAGATCTAACCTAAACAGATGATTTCATACTTCTAAGGCTCCAAAATACAGATCTAAATAGTTTCCATGGTCTATTTCTATAAAGTTCGAGACTTGATGGCTTTGCACACCTTAAAAGGACCCAAACTCAAGTTATAGCAACCTACTTCCATGAACATGACCATTGCTTGGACAAAAATAGGTTCAAAACCTCTTTTATGGTTCTAGAGGCTAAATATCACAGGAAAAAGGGATTGCTTGGCATAGAACCCATGGAGAGTAACTTATCCTTCTCAAAGGGATCAAAAAGACCCATAAATCAACACTAAAAGAGATCTAAGCTATGAGTTATCAAGCTAAGAGCTTTTTACCTTAGAAGGTTGCCAAAGATGGATGAAATCCTGGATCTTGA